GGGACGGGGTGGTGGTGGTTTGGGTTGAAATGATTGGATGATGGAGCAGACATTGAGTTAGGGAGGATCACGTGACCGTAAGCGTATGCATGCAGCCGCCTCTGGCCCGTCGCTCCCGCCCAGGTCCCCAATTTTACCTTCGATTCCCTTGTTTTGGCACTCCACGGCGGGCCACTGGAAAAAGGAGACGAGAGCCCGCTTGCCCCGATCAAGACCACACCTTGGGATCACGGACCTCTTCTCAGACAACCTCCATCCCAGCCTACTCGCCACCTACCTGCCTGGTCCTTGCCAGAGCCTGCTTCTCTCCCCTCGCGGCTTGAAGTTGGATTGGATGCATCTCGGTAACATGGTAGGCGACTGGCAAGTACCGCACGACGCCAGTAAGGGAGGGAAGGGATGGATCGATGGATGGGGGCCAATGTGACTGCGGTCGCCCCCCTCAACGCTGCTCTCGCCTTGTCACCGACTTTCAACCATCCATCTCTGATCTGTCGTCTCTGATTTCCGGTCCCTTACCACCAGGTGTGGCGAGCAGAGGTGTGCCTTTGCTGTACATACGGACGCTACTGGCAATTTGGGCTCAGAGGAATGGATGCATGGGTGAGCGGATGGATGCAAGGGAGGCGGCCCTCGTCCTCGCACCCTCGAAATGGATCAATCCGACCATGCGGCGAATTCAGACTGAAGAAGCAAAGGAACGACACGGGCGACGACGGCGACAGCTTCTGTGACGTGTCAACCGCTCCGAAGACGCGAACACGGACGCAGCCAGCCTTGCAAAACCGCACGTCCCTGTCGCAGCGTGACCACACCCTCCCTTTGCAATGAGAAAAACTACCCGTCCCTCATCTTCAGGCTCTGGGCGTCACATCGGGCTGAGGTTGGAAGTCTGCTTGGTACGGATGCCTTGCCTGGGACTGCGACACCAGCAGACAGAGCTGGGAGAGAAAGTGACTTTGTGATACAGTGCGAAAAGCTTCTTGTCACACATGCCAGGGTGCCACGACTTGACAGCCCGGCTGACCTGGCACGCCTGGCGGGATCGAAACAGTAGGGAAATTGCGGCTTTGTTGAGTCAGGGCCACCGGTGAAATTTCATGATGGAGCAGCCTCAACAGCTCCGTTCAATGAATATCAGACGGGGAGAGAAGGACAGGCGACTGGATTCAGTCATGGTTCATGGGTGAGGTCTATCTACCACTTGAGTGCTAAAGACAATTGTCATCTACAGCAGAATCATCTTGGTATGGTACACGAGCTACCTGGCCTACATTTCATCCAGTGATACGTTTCTGGCCGACACGATTCTGGAGATTTGTAACCGAGACGCCGCCGACAATCACCAATCGAATACGCACTCAAGTACGCACAGCATACCACCCTACGCAGCATACTACATGGCGCGTTGGCTTGCTTTCTTGGGCCCAAGAACCTGCCCACACGAAATGTCCATTGATAGGCAGCGTTTAGGCAATAGCATGCCGCCGGCGTTTGCGTGGCGCCGACAGAACCGCTGAGTACCTCCGAGATGGAGATGCAGATGCATACGGAGTACCTAGCTAACGACTGAGCTGCATCCGTGTGTCTAGTCACATCAACCGTCTTCCACGGGACCTCGGCGGCATGCAGGCTGGACGGGTGGATAGTGGAGAGACTCACCCGCAGTCAGGGCAAGCTCAGAACGGTGCCATGCCATGACAGCGCCCAGCGGAGGACAGGACAGCCGGCCGAACACGCTAGGACCCATGCCGGATGGACGATTGACGATTGCTCGACAGACTTCCCGCTGCGCATTAACCCCCCCCAGCCAAGGCGTGTGCCGCATACGGTTCGCTAAACTGAAGAGCCGGCTAGCAGATGGCCTCCATGTCCCAGGTTCAACGGCGACTGGATACCTACTACTACTACTGCATTACCCTAACCAGAAGCTATGAGACGGCATGCCCAAGTGGAAGATCTCGAGACTTTGTCGTTGGCTAATGTACTCATTACGGCACGGCACTCTAGCGCAACCTGACCAGGCCTAACGCGGCACTCATGGGTCTGTCACGGTGTTAGCGAAGTACGTTAATGCTCTACTTGCTATGAAGGCACAGAAATGGCTGTCGCCTTGCCTCACACAGGCTTCATGATAGCTGAGTGAATGATATTGCAGGGACAAGTCTTGGGGCCGAGGCTTAGGTGATGGACCGTCGACTGGGAAGTGGAAGTGGACATGATCAATCAGTACTGACAGGGAAGCAGAACACTTTCGCGGTCTGGCCAAAAACATGGGCGTGCTGAGTGAGCGCGCTGGACGCGAGATGGTGGGGGAGAGATGGAGACGAGCCATCGCGAAAGCAACGAGGATGGCTGGTCCAGGTTGAACAACATGGGATGAGCAAGGCAGCAGACGCATTACGGCGGCAAAGCAGCGGTGAGCAGAAAATCTGACCTGTTGCGTACTCTCAGCTCAACAACGGCCACGAAGTTTGGTTCGCCACGGCTTTTTCTTTTGTCAATCATTCTCTATGGTTTGTTGTCCCCCCATTTCCTGCCCGGTTTCTTATCTTTCGCGGACTCGACTCGGTGTTTCCCTTGAAGGTCTTACTTTGGCCGCTTTTTCACTTCAAGCATACATGATGCAGCGTCTAGGCCCAGAGATTTCGCTGTCGTGCGATGCGGGAGTTTGTTGTTGGTTGGCAAACGAGCAAAGATGACCTGTCAGATCTGACAAGAATTTCGGCGCAAGACTCGCAACAACAATAACAGCAGTACTCGTTCGCAGACAAGCGACAGCGGTATGTACCATGGTACCGACTAGACTCGTGTGGGAAGTCAGGCTCTAGCATCGAGGACGGCAGATCTGGGGTCCCGGGGTTCCTGATTTCTGCCCTAAGCACAGAATGCGGGTGAACCCTCGACAAGGCATCGAAACGGCAAAAAGAAAGCAATGGAGAGAGACTGAGAACGCGCCGTCATCTGACCGCCTTGCTATGTACGGACACTGCGAGTACACGGATTCGCTGCGCAACGCGGATACGTGGACGGACGGCCTGCGTGAGGGGAGGGGAGCTGCTTGCTTCATCTTCTTCTCCTCATCACCCGCCCATTCCCAACCCCAGTCCATGATCCAACATGTTCTTTTTCCTTCCTTCCCCCGCTTGTCTACCGACCAACCGTTCATGGAGGAAATGCTGTCGCCCCTCCCTCCGGGTCGTGTCCGTGGCTGCCGACACCCTGTAGCAGATGCAGGCTACAGAAAAAATGGTCCTGCGGTGCCCTGTCGTGCTGTCGCAGCCGGCGACTGATGTGGTGGTGATGATGCATCATGTCGAGGCATGTATGGTACTTTGGTCACTCTCTTCGCGCCCAGCCCCCAGGCAACCGGGCATCGCCCACCGACCACGTCGCTCACACCCGAGTCGGACCTCAGACGGGCCTGCTTGCCTAATCGTCCCTTCCGGGCCACCTGCATGACAGGTTGCACTCAGGGAACGGGTCGGACCAGTCAGGCGCGGCGACGATATTTGTGCTACTCCAGCTTGGGCCCGTCACCGCCCGCATGGTGCTGCAGTCACAAGCGGCGGACCGATGCGGCCTGCAGCAGGATCGGCGTCGATCCGCTTGTTTTTACCACCAAACCTGTCCACGGCAGCTGTCTTGGTCAAGTCCGGCGACCCGTAAGCCCCGGCCACGGTCACACCGTTTGGGCCCCCGTCTCTCCGGCTCTTGCACCTCCACGTCTATCGTCTTCCCCCTCGTGATGGGGATGCGTCGTCCATTGCGTGCCAGTGCGTCCTGTACGAAGCAGACGCTGGTCTTCGTTTTCCAATCCCTCTCGGCGACGGCGATGGCGACGACTCTTAATGACCGTGTGCGACTCGCTGCGTGCAGCTGCGTGTGAAGGGCACATAATCCTTCCCTGTACAGAGTACACACACAATATCTTAGCTGTTGGTATTATGGCGTACGTGTGAGGTGTCAGTTCCTGTCGTCCGACCTGTCACGCTTGCAGTGGGTATTTCGGACGGCCCTGCCCCTTTCTTGCCGGCCCCGTAGCTGTAACCTGATTTGGGCCCCGGATGCGTCTTCGCATTCCGCCCGGAGCGGCCTCGGTCGCAAGAACCAGACGCACCACAGAAGAAACCCTACTATGCTACAGAAGTGAGGAAGAAAGCATGGTCGCACATGAGCGGCTACATCCTACGCGCGCAGTCGGTGGACTGCGGAGGGAGCACACCCATATCCGTCTTCGACCCGGGAAACGATTGAAGTCGTCGTCTTGAACCATTTCTGACATACCCCAGGTCTCCAGGTACGTCCGAGAAGGCATGATCTGTCTGAGACAATATCATTCACGTGATTTCGAGTCTCGCTGCCTTTGGCAGTAGGCGTCGTCCACCCACCCTGCACTGCACTCTACGCAGTAGACCCCGCGCCTAGTCACCGAGTGTGTGTAATGTGTGAATGGCATGGCGCGCTGTTGTGTGGTGTTCGGGGACCAAGTTCGGGGCCTTTGAAGTGGGTCCACGCATCTACCTTAGGTACGGTACGGTACGGTACGGTACGGTACGGTACGCACGGTAGTGCTGAGCAATTGGGGTCTCCCGTCCGGACCAATTCCGCGCTGAAGTGGCCGAGAACTCTCCGCGATGTCGATAAAAGCAACTTCGTCGAGTCTGCGTCGCCTTGTAGGAGGAAAAGGAAGCAGACGGGAGCGTGTCACAGTTCAGCGCTTGATTTGACGAGTCAAGCAAGAGCACGCTATCTTCTGCCGAAGGTCTAAGTCCAGGAAATTTTCCTTCTTTTTTCCATATCTCCCCAACGAAAAGGCGGGGAAAGAAGAAAGCAATCCGCAAAAGAGTTTGCAAGGGAAACATAGACCAACATCTACCGACAGAATTCAATCAAATCCAGTCCAGCACCAACACCCAACGAGTCCACACGCACCCCTAAGTCCTAAGACCGTGACTGGCCTACCTCAGTAACAGCAAGTCGCAAAACTACCACACACCATGACGGACACGGCCACCGCCAACAAGGCTTACTTCAAGTGCGTATAGAGCAGCACCCTGCTCCAGATCACCTACCTACCTACCCACACAACCCCGTCCTTGCGGCGCCGATTCAGGCCCCCCAATCACGTCTGATTTGCCCACTGTTTCTCTCGCGGGTTCCTGCAGATACACCCATCGCGTTTCCATTCCATAACCGACGGGAAGGAGGTTTGCATGGTGATACGACGTGCCCTTGATATATCGATGGCGTTTGGCAAGAGAGGCACCATATCTCTCATGCCTACACTGCCTTCTCTGACTGACGTAATGTCGCCATAGTAAACTTGCTGCCGAGTACGACACCAAGTACGAGAAGACCATTTGGCAGCTTGAACGAGAGATTCGCAAGCGCAAAGATTTCATCGGCGTGGACTGGGTCGACGAAGACGACGACGAGGATGAAGATGGAGGCGACGAGAACAGCGGGAAGCCCGCCGCCGCCGAAACAAATCCGGCTACCGACAGCAGGCCGGTGAGACTGCTCGACTACGCTTGTGGCACCGGCCTGATATCAAGGGTAAGTTTGCTTGCCTCGACTTATGTCGAGTCTCAGCACCGCGCCGGCAATTCTGTTTGCTGGCGCGTTTGTGTACAACGCTCTCGCCCAAGGTCACAACCTGTCTCCCCGACAACAAACACAACAAGAGGAAGGGGGACGAGGCATCACTTGGTTCACTTGACTGACAAACATGGTATTGCCCAGGCTCTCGCCCAGTTTACCACGCATTGCGTCGGCATTGACATCTCGGGGAACATGGTGGCCGCTTACAACGCCCGGGCCGAAAACCAAGTGAGCCAGAGCTTTCTTCCGTTGTTTGCTCCTTTGCCCTTTACACACAGACGCAACCCAAGTTGTAAATACACCCGAGTCTTCCGAACGTGGCTGTCTTTCTTGTTTTCGCAATGGTGAGAAGGGCGCAGCAGCAGCAGCGAGCGAGAGCGAGCAGGCAGTAAGTGATTGCTGGGAGACATGACACACAGAATCTATTCGCGTGCGCCGCCTTGAATCTCTGCTCTGGTAACTCCAAGCACAGACGACAGTCTGGTCCGGTCTCTCGATCTCACCTTGGTCTCATCTCAGCCCTGCTGACCCCCATGACGTGGACGCGGACGGCGGTGCTGTGACCACTTTGACACTCTCACACGCCGCCGTCGCGCGCACACACACCCGACGGGACCGACGGCGGCTCATCGAACCACCCCTCCCCTTCCCTCCCTGCCTCCATCCCTCTCTCCTTGTACTTACTGCATTTCCCCCTTCCTCGTCCGGGCCACCCTTCCCCCGCGCCCAATGTCATCTCATCACATCCCAGGAGCAGGGCGGGAATGCACGAAATAACCTGTGACCGGACAAACTTCGTGATTACGTTGCAAAAACAGATGTGGCCTTTCAGCTGACCCCGAAACCTCTTCCGGCATAGGGCCTGAGCACCGACGAAATGCGCGCGTATGTAGGGAACCTCACGGATTCCGCCGACCCGGACCCGGCCGCCTTCGCCGGCGCCGGGTTCCGTGATTTCGATGTCGCCGGCGTCGGGCTGGGTTTCCACCACTTTGCGGACCCGGAGTACTCCGCAAAGAAGCTGGTCGAACGGCTCCGGCCCGGCGGCGTCTTTATCATTCTCGATTTCCTGCCGCACGAGAAGATGCACCACGGTCTGCCGGCCGCGCACACCGTCATGCACCACGGGTTCTCGAAGGAGAGGATGCGTGCCATCTTTGAGCAGGCCGGGGCCGGGAAGGACTTTGCCATGGAGGAGCTTGGGAGCGGCGTTGTGTTTGGTGGGCATGGGCATGGGCATGGTGAAGGTCACGGCCACGACCACGGTGACGGGCATGATCATGGCCATGGTCACGGACATAATGCACCGAAAGAGGGGATGAAGAGACGCGTGTTCCTGGCTCGTGGAACCAAAGTTTAGAAAAAGATAAAGGCGTTTAATGTCTGGTACGAATCGATCACTCGACGAACAAGAAGGAAGTGGGTGAATTGATACGCTGGCCTGCCCAACATAAGACTCTACTGCTGCTGCGCTTGTTCCTTCTCAATGATATCGACGGCGAAGGCACCTCCGAGCAGGATAGCCGGCTCCTCGATGCTGTGGTGTTCGTAGCTGCAGCATATGTGTTAGTGTCTCTGCCAGAGAAGTGAATTGCTGCTGCCCGCGAGATTGTGTGATGATACTCACCTCAAGGTGCCGACACCGCCGGCCTCAAGCAGAAAGGCCGGGCCGTCTTGAAGTGTCTTGCCGGCCCAACGCATGGCAAAAGCGCGGAGGATGTGACCGTGGGCGACGATCAGGACGTCTCCCTTCTGCGCCTCCTTGTCGCCGATGACGGGGCGGTGCCATCTGTCACGGATGTCCTTGATCAGTCGGTCCAGACGTTCCGTGACATCTTGGGGGCTCCTATGTGGTGCACGCGGTCAGCTGCGGTACTCATTTCACATGGTCTCCTTCCACTTCCTTCCCTCGAATATCCCACGTAAGGTGGGTTCTTCAGCAGGAAGCATGGCAAGGGGCTGATCCTCCGAGGATTGGGACAAGCGGAAAGTACTCACTCGCCACCCGGGCAGCCATCGCGCCAGATGTCCCAGTTCTCGGACAGGCCCTGCTCCTTGCGGATGCGACGGATCTCGGGGGACGTGATGCCCTCGTAGTCGCCGTAGTCCCACTCGCGAATGTCCTCGGTGACCTCGACACAGGCGTCGCACTTGGGTCCGTCGCCCTCTACTTGGCCATGCTTCTTCCAGGGGAGCTCGTCGGTGAGGCCGAAGTTCAGGAGCTCAAATGTGCGCTGGGCACGCTGGCGCGGAGAAACGTAGCTGGTGATGGATTTAGTGTTCTTCAGGGCAAAGGCAACACAGATGAAGTCGAGGATTTCAACAAAGTATGCGTAGGGTAATGTGGTGGTTGCAGTAGAATGAAGGAAGGAAGAAGGCAGACGTACATGTGTGATATCTTCTTCGGCACGATAAGACGGTCACTTCCCACAAGAGCCCGGCCGGTGGCCCGTACACGCTTCTCGCCGTTGGCCGTCAGGGGAATGTCGGTGGAGCCGGTATGGCGGCCGTTGAGGGACCACTCCGTCTCGCCGTGGCGGATGACGAAGGCGCGCGGGGTCGACATTGCGGCGGTGCGGTGCGGCAGAGCCTCTTTTCTCTTGCACACTAACGGGGCTTTGACAGCGGATGCAACCTCGGATGAGATGGGAGGAAGCCGTGGGTGGCGGCGTGACGGGGGGCCGACGGTTGGATGGTGTGGAGGAAGTCAATGCAATGCTCTACGGCGCTCCTCTCGTCGGGCTGGTGGAGGGGAGACAAGGATATCGAGTTAGTCTGCGTGGCGTTCTGCGGCAAGATGTAGGCAGTTCTGTGACGTCCGCGCATGAGGAAGAAATATCGGGCAGTAGGGGAATAGGGCCGGAGAAGTTGAGACGACGCGCGGGAGAGGCAGAGGTAGGTGTCGAGTGACGTGCCCCTCGGCGGTTTGGCTTTCCAGCCGTCCCGCCTTCCCGCGGTTCCGCCCATCTTCAGCCCAGCTCCGCACAGAAGAGCGGGATCTCTGGAAAGAGGGTTGAACCGGTGCTTTAACATGGAGCCCAGTAGAGTTCGGCAATCGGACATGCGAGCGCCAACTTTGGCTGATGAAATCGACGGTCCCAGCCCATCATCCCGCGTCCCGCGATATCATCCAAGCCAACGAGCCCACCATCAACTGCAACTGCGGGGGAGGCGGTGTTTGAATCGAACTCTTGTCGTCCTCTCGATTCGACTTGACGTGCAGGCCAAAGAAAAAAAAGACAAGCCTTCTTTCCCACGTCTTCCGCGGATCCTCCACCCCTGTATCCTGACCTCTTTTTCTGGCCGCGAGAACGAGACATGGTCCGCAACTCCTTTCGCGTGCACTTGCCACAAGTTGCGTCCCATCAGCGGTAGTCACCTGGCTCTGTGACAGACGTCTGGCTTCATGCGGGCCAGGAAGACCGGGGGAAGAGAGCTGGACAAGTGCCAGAAGAGAGATTCCTCCGTTGCGGTGCCATGAGATGGATGCGTTTCAGCCGGGGTTGCGACAGACAGGGGGGCCGCACACTTGTCTGCTCAATCCCCCCATGCAGGCAGATCAGACAACACAACACATCCGGGTAAGCCACCGATAAGAGGATGGATGGGAAGAATCCCGCCGTTGTCTAGCGGCGCATGGTGCTGAACAGGGCGAGCAGGGGGGAAGCAAGTCGCGATTGTCAGGCAGGAAGACGCAAAGAAAGGATGAAGGGTGGAGGAAGAGACAAAAGAGTTGCGGACGAGGGAAGGCCAAGGGGTGGTGGTGGAGGGGGGCCAGAAAGAGCTCTCACGAAGTTTGTTTCAACGCACCAGAGATGAGTGGGCAATGAATAAGCCCGCTGAAATGCTACCGAAGGACAACCAAAAAGGCAGTTTGGTCCTTATCTCTCCCGCTCGGCCGGTCGCTTTGGGTGTTGCAAGCGAAGAAACGCAAAACTTTTTTTCAACACTTCCTCTGTCTCTCTCTGTTGTTTGAAAAGGTAAAAGGCACGGGATATATATTGAATAACTCTCTTTTTACCTGCTCTTCTCCATTTACCGAGCGCCTTGCCCTTTGCAATCAGTCATGGCCGACGTCACGCCCGCCGCCGCCGCAGCAGGTCGATTACTAAGGACGCTGGGGCTGCCGGAATCACAGCGACAAAGTCTTGGTCTTCAGCGGGGCACCGGTGTTCCCGCTCCCGGCCGCTGCTCACACGGCGTCGCCTCTGCAGCAGTCCACGCTCTCCATTGTTCGACAGAGGAAGCCCCTGAGGCGATCTCGCCAACAACTTCCCTCGAGCTCGAAGCTTGGCCTTCAGAGCCATCGACGCCATCCACCGCCGAGTCGTCCGAGTGCGATTCCGTCGGCCCCTCGACGATCCCCCCAGCCCTGCGACGCAGGTACTCGCACTATTCGCCGCTTGGCAGGTTACGAGGCCATTCGCGAACCAATTCCCTCGACTCGACGGCGACAGACTCATCCGTCGCCTCGTCTTCTTCCACGTCCTCCACGCGGTCACGCTGGAACATCTTCGCGCCGGTGTTGGACGAATTGACGGCCTCAAATCACCGATCCGACTACGCCAGCGACAAGAAGAGCAGGCAGTCAAGAGAGGTTTGGAGGGAGTACTGGTGAACTCCTGCTCGTAGTAAGAAGGGAGGGAAAAAACCAGACACCGTCGCAATGAGCGGATTCACAAAGTTCCGCGCCGGCCTAACCGCTGCCGGCTGCGCAGCCATCATCTTCACGGGCGCCACATACGGCGCTGGGCTCAAGACTCAGGAAGAATGGACAGAGGTGGGTAAAATACACCTGGCTCATGCTGCCTGTATACTGATTCCTCGCAGGAACGACAGAAGTTCCATGGGTCGCCATATGACGAGCAAATTGCGCTCCTGGAGGGCCAGCGAGTCCGCCTTCTTTCTGAGCGTCGAAACTGGGAGAGAAAGTCGACGGCCTTGGAGGAGAGGATACGAGAGAGAGAAGCGAAGAAACCAGAGAGCTGATCGAGTTGGGACGTTACTCGGCACTCGACCCAAGTTGCTATGCGATGGTCTTGAGGGTGTCTTTGGGCCTTGAGCAAACCTGAACACGCCCCACACTACTTAACAGGGCCAAATGGAAGAGAGGCGAGCGAGAAAGATTTAGTAGCAAAGAACCGCGACGCCCGGTATCTTGCTGAATCTACTGCTCAGATATACAGCAGCAGCAAACCTGCATGCACATGTAATCACGCAACGGAGACCACCCCGACAAATGGGCGGCAATGTAATTGTAAATGTATTACAGAGATGGGAGCATCACCAAAAGCGATAGCGAGTAGAGTAATGAACTCTGGCCATTACATTCACCGACCTTTCTATCTATTCCCTAGTTTCATGTTCTTGTGTCATTGTGTCGTTTTGTATGCCACCCATAAGCTCGTTCCGCTCGTAAACGCCAAGGCCGATGCTCTCAACAGCTTTTCCGGCTGCAAAATCTACTCCGACTTCTCCTCGACGGTGGGCAGCGGGATAGCTCTGTAGAGAAGAATCAAAGCAGAGTGGGACTCGCCACCACCCGCCAGAGCATCGATCTTGTCTGACGTAACCTCCGAAACCTTGTCATCGTTGAACCACCACCACTTGCCGTCCTCCTCACCCTTCGCGCCGGTCTTGGGGTCGATGGAGGCAGTCTTCTTGACGTATGCAGTGTAGTGACCGCTGTCGGCGCTGGCACCCTGGTGGGTGACGACACCGCGCAGCTCGTAGATTCCAGACTGGTTGGAGCCTTCGTCCTTGGCCAGATCCTGGTTGACAAGTGCATAGAGCTCCTTCTTGGCAGCGAGGAGGGCGGCGTCCTTCTCGGCCTCGACTTCGGCGTCGGTCTTGAATGTCTCCTCCATCTCAACATCGCCATCAGAAGTCGTGGCAACCATCTTTCCAGCGCGCTCGGCCTTCTTCTCGTTCGCCTTCGCCAAAGCCGTCTTCTCCTCCTTGCTGGGAGCTCCGGACGCTCCCGCAATGTCGCCCCGGTCGTTGGGGTTGATTTTGCGCCTCTTGCGGGCACGCTCGATATCCTCCTCATCCTTTCGGATCTCGCGAACCTTGTCGCGGACGGGGATGAGCGCCTTCTTCAGCTCATCGGTACAGAATTCGACGACGTCGAGCTCGTGGGGGAAAGTGACCTTGCGCATGATCTTGGCCTTCTTCTGAACCTCGCGTTTCCAGAAGAAGCGAACAAAATGAACAGTAAGGTACTTTGGCAGGCGAGAAATCTGCGACTTCTTGGTGTAGGTGGTGTCTCTGTCCAACACGGACGACTTCTTCTCCAGCTTCTCCGACAAAGCGGCCAGAATACCATCACGCAAGTGGTTGATTGTTTGATCGATATGGCAGTTGAGCTTGAGGAAGGTCTCGCTGGACTTGATGGGCTCCTCGCCGCCGTCTCTGGCGGCTTGCTCATCAGCCTCGAGTGTAGACTGCAACTCTCCAGCCATGTATCTGTCGATGAAGGAGGAGCCTTCGGACTCGGCAAGCTTCTGCTTCAGCTGAATGAGAATCTGAGACCAGGCCTCCTCGGCATCCTGCTGAGCATATCCATTTCCTGTCTTGGACTTTTCGGCGAATTGGGGGTAGACCATGCGCAGAGTGCTCAGGAAGGTGAGCGGGGGAATGCTGCCCTGGGTCTCCGACATGTTCTTGTAAAGGTCCGTCAGCTGGGTAGCCAGGTCGGTCGATCCCATGCCAAAGCTGCTGCTGCCACCGCCGCTACCCGACTTGTGTGTGGTCAATGCTGTCTGGAGTTCGGGAATCGATCGGAGGGTCTGGAGGGTCGAGTTGAGGTAGCAGGTGTTGCCCAAGTTGGTGAGACCAGCGGGCGTAGCACCCTCCTGTTGAGCAGCTTCGGCTTCGGTCATGTCCTCGACGAACTTGACCGCTTCCTTGGGTCGGGCGAGATCGGCGTTCTCTCCGGAGGGCTTTCCCATCATCATGAGGGTCGCGCCCGCCTTGAGGCCGAACTTGGCCATGTCGTCATCATCCTTGACCTGCTTGCCCTTCACCAGGATCTTCTGTCGCTCGGGCTCGACGCCGGTCAGGCTGTAGAGCTGATACTTGAAGGTCTCGCCGTTGGACGAAGTGTCGACCTCGACTTGGTACTTGGTGCCTTGGTGGCTAACGGTAACTACCCCCCAGTTAGTAAGCATTGAAGCTGCCGATTGCTCCTAAACGTTCTCACCTGGTATTGACGCCATTGTTGCAATGCTGGCTGAACTTTTTGCGGAATGGAAAGGAAAGTATGTGTGCGGTATCTAGAACAGAACCCAACTGCAAGACGTGCAGGTACAGCAGAAGTTTGTTGAAGGCACCAGAGGTTTGCGTCAGTACGGGCAGCTGGTGGCAGAAAGACGTAGTACAAGGCACCGGGGGGTACGTAGGCGGGGAAGCGGTGTACCTGCAGGGCCCGTTTCAGCTGCCGATTCGTTTATTGGGATATCCCCTTGTTGCACCCTTTATCGCCTCTTATCACCTGCATTCGACCATCTTCGAACGTCTTCGGAAGGCGAGAGATGCTCCTGTTCGTTGCAGCAAAATCCAATGCATGCGGGCTCTGATGCTGTTCCAGTTCATTGATAGTGAATCTAGGAATCTTGGCACCCAACATGGCCCAGATTATCTCCAGAGGCACTTGTTGACTGAAAGTGACGTCGGCTGAACACCTCCATCTCGACATGCGTCTTGGCTTAACGGGGACATGCAACAAACAAGCACAGGCGGGGGATCGCCACTAAGGAGCTTGCTCCCAGATCACGTGGAGAAGTTTGAGGATGACTCAGCAATGTTGCGGTGACAGCTTGCGCATGAGCACGGTCGATGGAGCTCTGCGGCGGTGCTAGTCGCCCCACTACGAAACGTCAGGCTTCCGGCTGTGCCAACCTCAGTGCTCAACCTCACGAACCCCGCGGTCAACATCCAACTCCAACCTCTCAATATCACCAAAGGTTGGACGCGGCCAGGCTTCGCCATCATGGTAAGAGCTTCTGTGTGATATTAGGCTTTGTCTTTCGACTCAATTCGCTAACGTGACTCTGATAGTCTCAATCCTTGCGACCCTACCTCCAGGCCGTCCGGAGCAGTTTGACGGCCGCCCTCACGCTCTCCAACTTCGCTTCCCAAACCGCCGAACGTCACAATGTCCCCGAGATTGAGGCCCAAACCTCCCCCGAGGTCCTCCTGACCCCCCTCACCATCGCCCGTAACGAGAACGAACGTGTTCTGATCGAGCCGAGCATCAACTCCGTGCGGATATCCATCAAGATTAAGCAGGCCGATGAGATCGAGCACATTCTAGTCCACAAGTTCACCCGGTTCTTGACACAGAGAGCCGAGTCTTTCTTCATTCTCAGGAGGAAGCCCATCAAGGTATGCCAGATGCCTCAGTTGCTGGCCGGTCTCGGCGGCAGTTCGATGCCACGTGGCACACGAGCCCCTTTTCCAGGTTTAGGATGCTGATGGTTTTATTCAGGGATACGATATTTCTTTCCTCATTACGAACTTCCATACCGAGGAGATGTTGAAGCACAAGCTGGTCGACTTCATCATTCAATTTATGGAGGAGGTTGATAAGGAGATTTCGGAGATGAAGCTCTTCGTACGTGCTACCGACAAATTCAGGGCCACTCCGTAGGAGGACTTCATTGCTAACAATCCCCAGCTCAACGCAAGAGCGAGATTTGTTGCCGAATCTTTCCTCACTCCCGTAAGTTGATTTGTTCCTCACACTCAGCCTTGACGTCATTGACCGTGTACCTTAGTTCGATTAACTACCCATCAAAGCGTAACAAAGTCTGAGAGGTTAGTATCGGGAAACAAGTGAACGTTTCCCGCCTACTTCGCCCAAGATACTAGCCAGATCGAGGTTTCGAGCAAGGATCATGAGTTGGAGTTAGATGTTGGCTCGAGCGTAACCGGAATACCGGGATCCACATTGGGTCCGACTTCGACATCGGTCCGCAAATCCGGGGCCGTGTGGGAATGATGATTGGGACATACTTGATACACAAAAACTCAGATATGATCATGAACTTTAACCTTCATCGTGCGCTGAGAACGTCAAGTCGAGGTCCGCATCTTTCTGCATCATCTTGAATCAATGATCTTGCCAAGGATGTTGCTAACTTGGCAAGAGATGTACGATGGTTCACATTCCTAGCTGCGCTCGAGATTTTCCATGCACCTTCATTCAAGCGAGCTTGATGGAATTATCAAAAGACCGCCTAGTCCTTTCCTATGTGCGCGGCTAGATTTCCTATGTACTTAAATACTTGTATTATGGGCGATAGCAACGACGACGCAAGTGACGTTACCGATGATACTGACGACGGCGATGACGGCGACGACAACGAGAATAGTAACAACAACGACAATGATAGCAAACCAGATTAAGGTGCATAGCCACAGGAAAAGCAGTCGTTTTAGCACAGGAAAAAACAATCAGGCGGTCTCATTAGCAAAGCTTCTCCGTGGATCAGGTCGCGGTCACAGAACAATGACTTGTCACCCTTCTACCGAATCGACAGGAACTCGTCAGAGGTAGCGGCGCAAGCCAATTCTTCATGGTCCTGAGCTTCTGCTGTCTTCAGGTTAATTCAGAAGCTTGGGACGGGTTTGGCTGCACCTGCCTTCCTGGTCCAAAGTTATTTGTGCCAGTATTCACTATGAATTCGCCAGCACAGATAGGAACAGTGAGATATCTTATTCCTAGTGAGCCACGAGTCCGTCGTGGTCGTTCCTTCCGTCTTCTGGAGAACCTCTGGGTATCTGGTTTTCATCCTCGCTTAGGACCTCCCAGTCAGCAACCCTCATTCACTACCGAGCAACCAGGAGACCAACCTCACAGCAACTTTATCGCCCTGCACGGTCCTTCGCCTCCCGTCGTTTCTTTTCACTCCTCTCTACCTTGTCGGAACAACCGCTTTTGTCCTTTCGCAACTGGCACACCCCTACCTTCACCTCTGTCATCACCATCACCATCACCTTCACCACCACTACTCAGTGTGTTTGGCCACGATTTGGCCAGCCCGCCAGCGGGATCAAATCTACCTTCTCGGTGGACTTTCTTTTGGCCTTCACAAAATTTGGTTTTCGGTCGCAACTCTGGTAAGACTCGCTCTTCTGATCCCCGCCTTCCTTTTCAGTCTCGTTCGTCTGCAACGATGTGTGTGGCCTTGACGAGCAACTTTTCTCTTCCATGCAATTTTCACTTTCTCCCCTCCTCACCTTCTCACCTCCTTCCTGTTTCAGACCCCCTCCTGACTTCGTTCTAAAGAAACTACTTGCGGTCACTGAGTGTCAACAACTCCTTGCTCCCACCCCCCCAAAAACAATCAGCTCATTCCTTTCCCACCGACCACAACCTCCCACACTTGGATTGGTAGGTGACTTCTTTTTCTTTCGAAACTTCTTCCTTCCTCTTTGGTCTCTTGCCTTTTGTTTTTGTTTTCACCCGGCACGTTCGGTTTTCCTGCCTCGACCCAAAACAGCGAGAACCCAAACTCGTACTTCTTCCTCATTCACACCTACCACGCCCCTTCGCAGCCCACCAAAACACACCCTTCTTTCACAATCTTGCTCTCAAAACAGTTTCTGGTTGTATTATATACCTAGGAAACTGTCTGAGCCGGCCGCGCGAAGGAAGACGTTGCGTCATCACGCCGTCTCTGTGCTTGCCCTGAACTTGCGCCTCGCAAAAGTCGTCCCTCACATGTAAGAATCCATCCTAACACGGATACCTTTTTTTCCAATTTATTTTTGCACTGGCAAAATTGTCGTATCAATCAGATCCGAGGAAGGAGCACTGGGTTTGTCTTGCTCTTGCCTCTTTTCTTCACTTTCGTCTGTCGTCCTCTCGGCAACCGAGCACCTGTCACTCTCATTCACCAAGAGAATTTTCTTCTGCCCACATTGCAATCTTTTCTCTCTGTCTTTTATTTTTCGACCCTCCCTTCGACACTTCTTACCAACTCAACTTCCTTCCCCTCTGTTTGCCCTTTCCCTTCTTCGCTTCACCAATCCTGTCGCTAACCTTGCTCACCCAGAACACCTACTGTTCTCCCTCTCCTTGCCGACCTCTGCTCTTCATCCGCCTCTCCATCCTTACTTGTCAGCCTTATTCTTTCGCCCGAGATTATCTGGCTGTCGCTTATCATGGCTGTCCCCAAATTTGCCGGCATAGGCAAGGTGGATCAGAAGAAGATGCGCAAGCAGATGCGCGAGATGGCCCGCCAGGGGGCCTTCAAGGTCACCGATCTGCCTCAGACTGTCTCTGAGGAGTGCGAGGCCGTCGATGAGTCTGGTGGTGTACGTCTCAATGGTATATCATTCACTGCCCATTCGGACAAGTTCCAAGACAAGGCCTCGTCGGACCTGAACCCTGCGTCCACCCCTTGGCTTCCTAACGGATCCAAGGCCGACAACAACGACAAGAAGGTATGTAACAACTCCAGTCTTCACGACCAGAGATCGCCATGACTTACAAACAGAACAGGTCAACGGCCAAGTCTCTCGCAACCAGTCCTTCAACGGAATGACGAGCGGCTCTCACTCGGGTGCAACTTATCAGGATGGCGAGATCGACGAGGACCAGGACAAGCCCGACATTGTCAGTCAGGTCTCCTCTCCTGCTACTACAATCTTGCCTCCAGCTGTGTACAACAACAGCCAGATCATGTCCGGCTTGCAGTTCGCCCCCGGCCACTGGGCTGCTCCCCAGCAGAACGATCCTGTCTCTACCAGCAGTGTAGCCACTGGTGGACACCTCAGCGGCAGCGCTTCAATGGGCAATCTCCTTTACCACACCCCCACCCGCCAGAACAATGCTCTGGGTGTTCATCTCTCTCATGGAGGTAACCGAGCTACTCTCGACACGGTTGTCTCTAGCCCAGTTGGCAATGATACCCCCACAACGTCCAACCTTGGCTTGATGACCGAGCCGCGCAACTTTGCTCCCCGTGTGACCGACAACTTTGCTCATCTTGGCATGCCGCCCAAGTTCACTTTGAAGAGTGCGGACGGTAACCCCACGACCCCTGCCGACTCTCACGATCCCTTCGCTGCCCAAGCCAGCCAAGGCGGCCCTGTTCAGATGCCTCTTTTTGGCTCTCAATACAACGCTACGCAGATGTTCATGAATGGCCAGGCCTCCTTTGGCACCCCTACTGGCGAGACTCTCAACTTTGACAACCTCCCTCATGATGACCAGTCAGCCAGAACCATGGGACCCAGCCCCCAGCCTTCTGTCAACAACGGAGGCCACACTCAGAATGCTCAGGTCCACAATGTTCAGAATGTGCCTCTTCAGCATATCCTCGACAATGGCAACGTCACGACGCCGCAGGGATCGACTCAGTCCTACACTAGCCAGGGCGAATTGGTTCCATACCAAGTGGGTTATCCGCCGCGAAATGTCGCGCCTCAGACTGTCGTGACGCCCTACCTGGCCCCTCCCGAGGCGCCTCCTACCAATTACATTCGCAGCCAGCGGTCTCCTCAGCTCAACCGTTTGACGGGTACACCCACAGGTCTCCCCTCCGTCGAGACAGCTCTGAACCATGTCAACTTCCCGTTCATCGAGCCAGCCAATCGCCCGGGCAACTCTGTGGTTCGAGGTGTTGTCAAGATTGGTAACGTACGTTGGCCTCAAGACTTACTGTAACATCTTATGCCACGGATACTGATCAGCTATAGATTCCCTTTGTGACCAACCGTTCCGAGATCATTGCTGTTCTCGGCCGCAACTCCCGCATCCTCAACGATACTGAGGAGCCCGTTCACATCATCATGGAGCGTGTCACTGGCAAGACCACTGATGCTTACGTCGAGTTCCACACTCTGGAGGATGCCACCAAGGCCGTTGAAAAGCATCAGCAGAACCTCAGTCGCGGCAGAGTTACTCGCATCGGTCAGCGCCCCGTCGAGATTGAGCTCTCGAGCCAGTCTGCTCTCATGAAGGACCTGTTCCCTTCCTCTCGCGGTGTCTTCTGGAACGGATGCAACCCTCAGGTGCTTCCGGACAACGCTCAGGAGCCTTGGGAGAACTTCAAGGGTTTTGTCTCGAACGAGGAGATGACCATGCTCGTCAAGCACGTCGAGGTGCCTCACCGCGTAAGTCTGTCCCATCCTAATTGCCTAAACGGTACACTAACACACCGTGTCAGTCCCCCTTCTCCAAGGAGTGCCCTCAGCGTCCTTTCGAGTGCCTTATTAGCACCTTGACCAAGTTCCCTTGGCACATGAAGACGCACATTACTGTGCAGCAGCGCCATGCCATGCACAAGGCCACATGCGACCTGCTTCGCATCCTGGTCAGTAGCATCCGGGATCACCGTGACGAGGTCAATTTGACCCAGCGTCTCCTGAAGCGCGTGGTTGCTGCAGCGATGCGCTGTGAGGGCTTCTCGGCCACCCAGAAGGACGACGTCGCCTACCTGGTTGACATGGAGGAGATGGAGCAGAGATCTTTCGGACAGCCGCGTTTTGCCGAGAGCTGGCGCCACCTCTATGTGCTTGTACCCAAGAACGGCGTTCCCCTGGACGTGATCGAGGTAAGCTTCCCCCACCCCGAGCTGGATAAGATTTCGTGAAACTTGAGGGTCCAGAGCTAACCGCTTGTGTCTCCAGTGGTACATTTCTGTCATTCGCGACGAGACCAATCGATTCCTAGAGTCGCAGCCGTTCCAGGAGAAGTGCCAGACCCGCGCTGTCGGCGACGCCACGGATGGCTACTTTGGCTACTTCTGGCGCGAGCTGAACCACCCCGTGGGCC